TAGTACCCGTATAAGACTAGTTGCGACTAATTAATGCCCTATTGTACCCGATTGAGAGTAATCTCAGAATACTCTCTTTAGAGATTAGTCGTACAATTTTTTGTAGGGGTGGTGTTGATGGATATTCAACATTTGAAAGCAAATTTATATGCCTGGGTGTAGCTGAGTGCGCAAAGATGCATGCCACAACTTGTTGATATCCAGAGATGGTCAGGGTTCGAATTAAGCTGCAGGCAACATGCAAATTAAATTTTTTTTTAGTTTTTGTCTTGATTATTCACTTCACTGATGCTTTTTCAGTACGAACGTGGTCATTTTAATATGCGCGTAATTGAATTGAATATTTACCAATATACAGTACTTTCGTTGACGTTTATAGTAAGATCAATTACGTTTCTATTTGATTTTAATATTTTTTTCCCTCAGTGTACATCTATACATAGCATTGTACGCGGTAATCTCAAAAATTACTGAATGGATTTTGACGAGATTTTCTCTAATATACTTCGTATCGACAGGAGAGTGACCGTTTTACTTAGAATTTTAATAGGGTTGCCACCTGTTTAAAAAAACTATAAAATCCGAATCGTTCGTTGGATTACAAAAGATTGGGTGTCAAATGAAAGGGATTGGCCTCTGGAAAATGTTTTTTTAATAGGGTTGCCACCTGTTAATAAAATTACTATATTCAATCATAGTAAGCATAGGCATCAGTTCTGCACCGTCACTGTCAAAAGAAAAGACTTAGCCTCTACATGTGCAACAATGTATTATCTTTCTGAGTAGGGTTGCCACCTATTAAAAAGTTAAAAGATTTTCGCCGTTCGTTGGATTACAAAATGAGATACCAAATGAAAGGGCCTAGCCTTCGCATGTACAAAAGCTTTCATTTTTTGAATTTTTTTTAAATTACTATCTTTTATACATAGTATAAAGGAAAGTCGAGATATTTTGACCACGCTACTCTCAAAAACTACTGAACGGAGTTATACGAGATTTTTTAAATATAATCTGTATCGATAGGAATATTATCTTTAGTACTTTAAATTCCTATAGGCTTGCCACATGTCTAAAAAATTATTAGATCCGCACTGTTCGTTGGATTACAAGAAATGAGAAGTCAATTAAAAGGCCTCGGCTTTTAGAAGTTCAATAATGTATTACTTTTTCAGTAGGGTTGTCACTTTTTGAAAATTATAAGATCTTCACCGTTTGTTGGACTAAAAACTGAGGTACCAAGTTAAAGGATATGGTCTCTGCAAGTGTAATAAGTTTTTATTTTTTGTTTGAGTGGTGTCGCTACCTATTTAAAAATTATGTATATATAATACACGAGGGAATTTTTTGTTAATGACATTAGATTTGCACAGTTCATTCAATTTAAAAAATGAGGTGTCGAAGGAAAAAGCTTGACCTTCCGATTTGCAGTAATGTTTTATTTTTCGAAGAGGGTTGCAACCTGTTTAAAAAAACTACTAGCCAAAAAGAAGAAATTGTGCACTGTAATTTGTAATCAAATTTTCGTGATTTGATGTTCGTTTTAATAATTTCAATTTATTTTTAGCAAAAATTTTAAAAACAGTAATTTTGTTTACTTGTCGGGCAATATTTTTTTCATAAGGATCCTTGGCTAAAAGCTTCTGTGGTCAAACTGTCCCTTCTTTGCTATTTAAAGTCAAAGAGTAAGCTCCTTCAATAGGGATTTCCAGCAGAAGTGATCAACGTCTGGCTATAAAGCGAATCGATGCTCAAATAATTAAAAAACTATAGGTCTGACGCAATTATTATCTGAGATTGAAATGTTTATAAAAAATATGGTGCTTTTTTAAAAATAACAATATTCGGATCCGATTCGGCTGGCAGCCAGGACTTTGAAAACAGAATTTTGTTCGGAATTTTCATTCCTGGAAAATAATAATTTATTTTCCATATCCACCTATTTAGCTCGTTATAAGCACCAATCTTTCAAATCTTTCAAACTCCGCCATAGCAAAATTAGTGTGAATTACAAAAACTAAAATCGAAAAACGCTGATGAAGTTACAGATTCATCAAATTCTGAAACAGCCAAAGTAATGAGAATGAAGAATTCTTTTTAAAAAGCTTAGAAAAACCTGACACTTCTGGTTTGGCTTGTAAGCGCTGTTAAAACAACGATCTCGGCATTAACTAGATTCTAATTTTTCCTTAAAAATACTTGACATCCTCATTCCCATCCGCATGTTAGCTGTTAGACATTCGCATCCGCGGATGTCTAAAATTCCACATTCGCAACATCCCTAGTATGTAAATATGAATATATATACATGTCTGAAGACAGAGAAAATAAATAAAAAGTCGGTTTGATAGAATACAATACATATTCGAATGTCGTTGAATTATTTTAAGATCTATTGCAAAATTTTGTACAAACAAGACTAAAAAGTTGAAAATAAATATAATAAAAAAAAACTTTTTAATATACCATGTAATTCGCTTTTTTTAATAGAAGTGCTTTGATGCTCTATATTTGCATACTTGAAAATTTTAAAAATTTTGAAAATTAACAAAATGGCAGAAATTTTTTTGAAAAATCAAATGACTAAATTTTCTCAAAAACATAATTTTTTATTTTCTTGAAACTTGATTACTAGATAAAAAATAGAACTTCTCCCAACAGGTGTGATGCCCGCTAAAACGCCTCGAAACAAAATGACAGAATTTTTTTGAAAGAACAAAACATTTGATATTCTCAAAATCATCATTTCTTCTTATAATAAAACTTTTATTTGAACTAAATACGTGTTTTGACTCCTGTTCGCTTTTGCGTACGAATACAGTTCTTATTATTTTTACCGAGTAACCACAAAAAAATTAAAAAAAAAAATATGGTTTTGCGAAAACCGAGTTCTTAGATTTTTCAAAAAGTTTCCGCCGTTTTGTTAATTTTCAAAGTTTTTCTAATTTTCAAACTCATAAAGAAAGAGCATGAAAATTACTACCAAAGAACGTGGATAATAAGGGAAAACTCGTTATAACTGTAGCGAAAGTGAGTAACAGGAGCATGCCTTTTCTTTGCTTATGCATTCATCCTGAAATATACTAGCCAGAAATGCGCTTGAACCATTTTGAAATATGAGTGTTTTTACTCTCTACAAAATAACTTACGCAACCTCACATACGCGGTTTTGCATTATCTTGATACGCGGTTTTGTACTTCAAACGACGATATGAATAATATATGGCGCTATATTACCTAAAATACTGAGTCTTCTTATTTCATCAAACCTATTGGAAAAAGTTGTCTTTTTTATCTAGTAACCAAAAACAAATTTTCAAGAAAATAAAAAATGATGTTTTTTTTAGAAAACCACCGTTTTGCTAATTTCCAAGATTTTTAAAATTTTCAAGTATCCAAATAGAGAGCATCAAAAACACTTCTGCAGTCAAAAAACCAAATTGAAAAATATTGATGTTTACCAAAACTAGAAAGATTTGAAAAAAATTGTTAGTCGTTTTTCTTTAAAACCACATTTTGCCCTAAAATTTTCAGATGCTCGCAACTCAGCGAATTTTTTTTTTCGCAAAACAAAAAAAATACGTGTCTCTTTATTTGCCATAAAAGACATGAAAAATCATATTAAACTTGATTTCGAATTTTGAACCCATTCCCCCTGCATGAATTGAAGTAGAATCAGCCATATATGAGATTAGAAAAAATATGAACTACCAAGTCGAGGATGCTCTATGTTTGGTCGTTTTACCGACTTCCGGTTTCGTTCGTTTCCGAGAACAGCATGTCTATGTTGTTAGTTTTCATGAATAATTCAACTCATGAGCGCTGTGGTTAACTAAATTTGCTTTGAAATAAGGGCTTCTAGTTTATCTAAGCTTTCGTTTTTATGGTTGCTAGAGCTGAGAGTTTGGTGGCCCTTAGTAATGTCTGCATAGCTAAAATTTTTGGTGAAAAGTTGTCCCTAAAATCTCGAGTTTATGTTGTCATTAGGTCTAGGTACATGCGAGTTGACTTATTGGAATAATGTTTTCGAACAGTATGACCGTGCTTGGCTAAATCGTCTTTAATATCTGTGATTGGCGTAGAAAAATGAATGTTTTTTACAACAATTTGATAGGGGTTTTTTCTTCTTTTAATTGATAGGTCTGAACGGAAATATTACTAGCATCTAGGTGATTGACTAGTTTTCTGTAGGTGTTGTCTATCTCTACGTCCTTTGTATGTAGATTTCTTTGCCAATTTCGTATAAATAAAATACAAAATGAGAAATAGCAGCACTTACAAATTTAGTTCAATGAAAAGATCATTGAAATGAACTAGTTCTTTAGTTAATTTAGTTTAAGAACTACCCAAGCCTTATATTGACCAAAAATTGGAAAGCTACATATCACTTCCCATTGTAAAATTTGAAAAAAAAAACTAACCTATTAGTTACGACAATTTAAACTGTATTAAATCTAAACTGAACGATATGTATGTATGTATTTGCATATGTAAATGCTACTTTTCAGATACATTCTAATATATTGTACATATGAGTATACTTAGGTCTTTTTTATGCGGTACATGCGTTCCTCAGAGAGCCGCATAAAAAAGTTCGTTACTTTCATACAAAAACAAGGGATGCGTTTCAGCATTTTCAAAAACCGCAAAAATTCAGATACTCCATGTAAAAAAAAAATCTAAAAAACCGCATAAAATACCAGTGAGGCAATATTAAGCAAAAAACAACTTATTTCTTCATTTCAACACTAATTATTCCATGTAAAACTGAACATTGATGAAAAAATAATATTGTATCTGTATTTTAACCAAAAACAAAAAAAAAATCAAAATAAATACATGAATTATGTAAGAATACAAAGAAAAAATTATTTATCAGAAGCATCATGATAAAAACATTACCAGGTAAATTCATTATCTCAATTCGTCGGCCATGATTTTTTTCTGACGTTTGCAAGCATTTTAAAATCATATAAAATTGAAAAAAAAAAATGAAGTTGCTCACAACCCTGCACACCATTTTTTCAGAGTATTCTGCATTGTAAATAAATTTTAAAGAATTCGTTAAGATTTAATTCGATTTTTTGCCGAATTTTCTAAAATGAAATAAATTACGCACACTTCCATTCCATTCTTTTACGAAATTTCGGAAGAAAATCTGTGAAACAACGAAAATAATGGTGCTATGTGAAGAATATCTTTCAGAATTTTTCTAGAATTTTCTTTATTTTTCGTACAGAAATTTCTTTACGAGTTCGTGTTAACCACTTCATATAATTTTCTTTGAAAATTCGTAAAAAATCGTTACAGAAATGAGATACTCCTAACGATTTCCTTAAGATTTCGGGAACTTTGGTTTGCAGGGAACTGTTGTTGTTTGAGATTGAAAATGAGAAAGTGTGTGTGAGATTGAGTTTTGAACTTTTAAATTATATTGCTGGCAAACGTCAGACTGTCTCTCAGTGGTTTTACCTTGTTATGTTTTTATCATGAGAAGCATTGTCTCTTACACACCGAAAAAAAGTAATAAAAACTCTCAAAAAAGAAAAATCGCTACAACGAAAAAATGGCTTGAAAAACCGCATAAATTCAAATCCTCATAAAAAAAGGCGCATAAAAAGGGACCTAAGTGTTGATACAAAAAATAGCATTTACATATCGTGTAAGAGCGCTTTAAGTACATATGAATATACATATGTAAATGTATATGTATATGTACATATGTACATAAGTATCAATGTAGTATATATGCACATACATATATAAAAGGCAGAGACAATTATGTTTTAATTTCTTAAGAACCAGATGCGTGAATTTCCCAAACTCACCTCTCGTAAATGATCCAAATCTGCTTTGTTGCCTATCAAATAAGCGGATGGACCATTTTGTAACGCCTTAATTTCGCCTAAACATTTACTGGCATAGCCAAAACTTTTACGCTCCGTTATATTGTAGACGACCATGCAAGCGTCTGCCCAGAGAACCTGCAAGTGAAATTTAATTAATCATCTTAAGTAAAAACAAATATTTTTCAATAAGTTAATATACTCGGATAAGCCGGTGAAATTGCGCAATCAAATAAATTTGAAAATAAAAAAGATAATTCAGTAACGTTCGAAATATTCCCGCTGATCTAATGAACCAAATAAGGCTGCGTTCGTATCCTTTTAATATTTTTTTTTAAGCCTAAAATACAATAGCGCAGTGGCAGTGACAGTTTTTAAAATCAGCTGTTACTGCCAATATTGGCAGTCACTGCCGCAGCAAACACAATATGGCGTTGTCAGTGACTGCTTTTTTTGACATTACCTGTTGTTTGTTTACATTTTTGTTGTGGCCTTTTAGGCTTCAGTGAAACAAACAAAAGTTGGCTGCGTCTTATTTACGTCAAATTCAACATGCGAAGTTTGCTGCGATGAAGGCAGTGACAGTGAGTTTAGAATTTAGGCTAAACTGAGCAGTACTGCCAGCTGCCACTGCTGTATTGTGAGTCGCTTCATTGGAAAAACTGCCACTGCCACTGCCACTGCGTTATTGTATTTTGGGATTTAAGCGTTAAATTTTCCTGTAAAAGATTTAATTACACATTTACTCACTTGCTCCATTGGAAAATCTTCTTCATTTCCGGCATAGACATCAACAATTTCCACTTCCGTCAGGCCAGCATCCAATGAGATCGTTTTATTATATAGTAGATCTGTGTTTGATCGGTATTCGCCAATAAAACGGCCTGTCAGATAACGCACTGTCAACGCTGTAAGATAAAATAAACAGAAACATCACAATTAATATTAAAATGCAGGCAGCACAGCGTTTAAAGAAAATGTCATCGATATTTCGTAATGCGAAATATAGTTTATTTTAACGTTGCGATATATCATTTATCATTTCAATATTTGTGCTTTTGTTGGAAGTAATGAAATTAAAATATGATGAAAAATAATTTTTATTTATATTTATTTTTAACTTAAGGTATTGCTTTTATGTTAGTGTGTGAGTTTCTTTTGTTTATACAACCTCTTTCAATTGAACAAATCAATGGACATACATACATACATACTTACGTACGTATATCTCGTCTCAGCTAAAATTTGTGCGACAAATCTCTAAAGAAAATATCCAGAGATTAGTCTCAATCGGGTACAATTGGGCGTTAATTAGCCGCAACTATTCGTATACGGGTATTATTGGAGATCAATTAGTCTCCGACTCAATTCCAACGGGTACACTTAAGGATTTAATGATATATAGGCACTTATGGCGTTTTCTTTTCTACCAAAAAATTTTGCCTTCTCAGTGCGCCCTGCGAAAAATTGTGCGACTAATCTCTAAGGAGAGTATTCCGAGATTACTCTCAATCAGATACAATTGGGCATTGATTAGCCACAACTAGTCTCATACGAGTATTATTGGAGATCAATTAGCCCCCGACTCATCTCTATCGGGTACTGTTAACGATTTAATGATATGTGCGTACTAGTCAAGGAAATTTTATTTGCGGCGTTGGCGCAGAGAGAGAGTATTCGCTTAACGAAACTGCGAATCCCGGTTCGAATCGCAGTTGGTGCAAGTTTTTATTTTTATTTTTTAATAGCGACTAGTCGCTTTTTATACAATTTGGGTATAAAAGGGGAACAACTACTCTCTTCTTAGGACATGCTCGAACAAAAGCGATTAGTTCGCTCCATATAAAGAGATAAAAAGTGGTATTAGTTGCATGTTCCTCTGCGATTGTTCCCGGAGTCATCCCGGATTAGTCGAATTTTATGCATGGAAAGGCATACTCGCACATAGATACAAACATACATACATATTAAGTTATGCATACGTCGTTTAAAGTACAAAACCGCGTATCAACAAAATCCAATACCGCGTATCACGATAATGCAAAACCGCGTATTTGAGGTTGTATAAATTATTTTCTAGAGAGTAAAAACACTCATATTTCAAAATGGTTCTATTTTTATAAAGCAATCGCATTTGTGGCTAGTATATTTCAGGACGAATGGATAAGGATTAAGCCAAGAGCTTTTTGGCAGCAAATGTCAGTTACGCGGTTTTGCAAAATGACGATACGTGGTTTTGTACTTTAAATGACGATACACATATAGAGAGGTTTTTGTTTTTCCTAAGTGTATTTTTGTTTAGTTTGGCATTTTTGGATTTACGAGCACATCACAAATAACGATAAATATGTACTAATGTTCGATCGTTCATCAAAAAGTCGGACAGTCGGATTGTTCCCCGACTAACACATACGTGATATAAACATATCAATATATATATATACGGAAAATGTTGGCCAGTTTAACGAATGATTGGCTGGCATATATTATTATGTGTGTACATACATATGTATGTATGCATTTTGTCAACAAGGCAGACGTTAATTAGCAACTCAGGGTAAAAAGACCATATATGTATGTGTGTATCTGTACGTAAACAAATTTAGCATAATATTTACGAAACATTTCGTGCCCAATGTGTTATTCCATTCATATTTATATCCTAAAGCTGAAGTTCCATAGCAGGTTTTTCAGACGTTGCGGCTTGAGGCGCTCAAGCCTGTAAAAGCATAAACAGACGGCAGCGTAGATCTGGATCAACTCGGGAATTAACTGCAGTTGATCCGGATTAAGTCCGAGTAGGGTTCGAACCATACTATCGATATTGAGTAAGCATCGATACTGAGGGTATAAAAATGAGTACTTTAATACTCGATACCTGATTTGATGATTTTACTCGATACTTTGCAAAGTACTCGTAGTATCGAAAACTTTTTAAAACACACGCTTTTTAAATTTTTTCTTCCACTGGCAACCCGATTTTCTTTGCTTATATGGAGTACTATCATAAAATTTTGTTCATCACTTAAAAAAAACTGAAATTTCGTGTAGTCTGTTGCATAACATGAACCAAATAAGTTAAAGTTTAATGGCCTTATTCATAAAAAATAAAGTATGTTTAAAAAGCTTAATAAAATGACGTTTTCTTACATATTTCAGTTTATAAACCTTTTTTATGAATAAGGCCATAAAAGTTTACGCATAGTTCATGAAAATGCAGAATTTTTAGAAAACTTTTGGGTATGCAGTTGTGTAAACTATTAAACTTTACGTGTATTATTATACTGAAATTGAATAGGGTACAAAAATGCATACCCAAAAAGTTTACAAAAATTCGTAATAAAATTTTAAATTCGTGAAAGTATATATATATATATATGTATGTATGTATGTACATTTAACGTTAAAATAAGTTCTGCAATGAAATAAAAGTCAAATATTTTAAGTTTCTATTGTTTTAATTTCAGGAAATAACTAGATATACCATTGAAGAATAAAATAATTTTAGTATTCCAAGCAACGTATTTCAATGAGTCCGATACTGATTAGTATCGATACTTTCTCCCTGATAATATTAGAGTATCGATACCATGAGCCCGATGCCAGAATGAGTACTCAGTATCGATACCAAAGTCTGAAATTTTGAATCCTAAGTCCGAGTTAATCCGGATCAACACTGCGGTCTGTTTAAGCTTTAAGGTGATTTAATGCAATTGTATAGAAGCTGCTCCAGAACAGAAGTCCGAAATGCCTGAAAGATGCCATCTTTCGAACTTGTTTCAGGCTTTTCAGGCGTCGTCTGACAGTTATTCATTCGAACAATGCCAAAATCGATAACACTTACCATATTTTAAAGGAATTTTACACAAAGTTTAGGCAATAAAATGCAGGCAAAAATTATTTATTGTTTGAATATTAATATGAAAAAGGGAATAGAAGTATTGAATCAATTAAAATTAAATGGTAAAAAAAGTATCACGTTTATCGAACTGTAATTGTATAGTCGATATCTCATTTGTCGGAAAACGCATCCCAGCACTTTTGGGTATTTTTCAATCGTTTGCTATTTCAATAAATAGATATTTTAAATTTTAAAGAGAAAATTCAAAGATTAGTGTATATAATGAGAATGTTTGCAAGTAAATATTTGCATGTGTAATGTAAAGAAACTTCAAGCGCGGAAAGTTTGTTGTGGAGTAGCTTGCATGAAAAGCCTGTAAAGCCTGAACGACTTCGAAAGCCGCAACGCCTGAAAAACCTGCTATGGAGTTTCTGCTGAAGTGTATTCTTAAGTTTCAATAAAGAATATACCCTTTAAAATACTGTGGTTTTCGTTTAATTAAAATCATGCAAGTATTTTGGTCTCCCTTTTATACTTGAATGAATTTCAAAGAACATATAAACATGGTTGGACATGCCCTCTACCACTCGGTAGGTTCTTGGTTCGATCCCTGGTTTGAGTAACTCCAAAAACGTGTTTTTCTAATAGCGGTCGCCCCTCGGTAGCCAATGGCTAACCCCCGAGTTTATTTCTGCCAGAGCGTCCAGATTTGGCGATTTCGCGCCAATTTGGAAATTGTTTTTGGATATTTCCGCGTAAAAGTTTAGGAAATCGCCATTGGCGATTTGTTCCCTTCAACTAAATTTTTTCCAATTATAAAAATATACAAAACTTAGTTTTCCACGATAATTCTACAGAAGAGGCTAATGAACTGCGTGATAAACTTGACTTAAGAAGCATATTAAAAGACTGTCAAAAATGTTTAATCACCCTAATCGAAGAGCCTTTGAAACTATTACCTAGTCAATTAAATACTTTTAAAAAAGCTTTGATTTTATCACCACAAAAGTGTGTGAATCACAAGAGGGCGAGTTTCAGGGACTTGCCAATTCACTATTTGACTTTGAAGAATTTTGGATAATTGCTTACGGAGTGAAAACCGCAACAGGCAATAAAATGTTTGGAAATATATGTAAGTAAATTCATATTATTATCCTTGCCGCACTCACATGTTTCGTTGAGCACGTTTTTTCCGTAATGAATTCAACAAAAACTAAGATTCCAAATAGGATGAGGTTGGAAAGCGTTAATTCAATAGTTCGAATGAAGTGTTATATGAAGGCTAATAGTTTCTGCTGCAAAACGTTTTCAATATCAAACAGTATGTTATCAAAGTTAAATAAAAAAAATATATGACAGCAACAGAAATGTAAATCATTCAGACACTATAGGTAATTTTGAAGAAATTGTGGAAATAGCTGATCTCGCCTTATTATAGGTTGTTATTTAGTTTTTAGCGCCGAGCTATTAAAAGCGATTAATTGTGCGATTAATAAATTAATATGAGTTATAATAAATTTAATAATTGCGCAGTCCTATTACAAAATGTGTTGAAACAAATATTTTTAAAAAGTCTGCTTATTTTTAAAGAAAATTGTTTGTACATCACTATTATATAAGTGATTTGTGTTATTTATTATTATCCTCTGAAGGTATTATATTCATTTTTGGTTCTAAAAACTATATTATAACAAGATCTCGCCTTTAAAATAAAAGATTTGTTAAATCGATCTTATGAATTTTATTTAAAAAATAATAATTGGCGATTTTTGGCGATTTATTTTTCAGAAATTGCGCTTTTTTTGTAAATAATCTGGACACCCTGTTTTCTGCCATGAAAAGAGCTTCTCATTAAAACCATTTGGCATTCGGCCCCTCCCTTTTGTGCGGCAACAGCACTAGCAAATAAGTATATGCAATTGTGCAATGCATTCATCCCACATGTTCACTATGAATATTGACATAAATTTAGATATTTTTCAATTCGGGTACTCAGTGTATTGAAGTGAACAATAAATATACGAGTAAGTTAATAAGTATATGTATAGTATATCGAAATTAGGAATA